TGGGGGGTGGGACCAAAAGGGCACTGCTGCTGTGGTGCATAGAATGGCCTTCTCAGCAGCATCCTGGTCTTCCAAATCACATATGACTACTGCCACATGGGACCCGGATGGCCACCACCTCCCCCTGGCCTTCAGTATCCCATGTAGCCATTGCTATGCAGGACCTGGAAGGCTGCTTCCCATCCCTCCAGGGTGTACTACCCCCCAGGGTGACACCCCCATCTGGAGTTTCGCCCGGTGCAGTCCACACCACCACACCCACCTAGTGATGCCACTGTTGTAGATTAAGTTTGATTAGAAACAACATCTACATATTCTAGTAGAATTCTGTATAGTTTAGAATAGATTGGCAAGGATTTTTGACAACAAATAGTTTAAGAATGGCTGTTTGTAGGGCATTTTCACACTACAGAACTATATTAAACTTTAACTGTATAGCTGTTGTAGCTATGAGTCTCTCTAGGGGAATTTTAATTAGTTCAATTAATCAATGGGCTGAGCTACCAAACAGCCCTTTGGAATCATTCCCACCTGTATACCGAGATGCTGAAATAGGGACTTCACAGAGGCAGAATTCTTTATATTAATTATATTTTATTAAAAGGGAAAACACACACCAAAGCATGCTCACAAACACACACTCACAAAATAGCTAGGAAATAAAGGTCATTAAAGGGATAATTACCATCAACGTGGTTGCTCCTTAAAGATACGGTCTCATGCTGGGATGTAGGACTCAGCTGCTTTTTGGAGCGCTCGGAGGGCAGCATGCATCGGAACTAGCAGGACTCCAGGGAGACATGGGGTACTCCTGCACTGCATACTAGCACACAGAACAAAAGAATTTGGGGATCTTTCATAAGGCAAAACCAGCCTCAAGGCAAAGACATGTGTTCTACATCAAAGGGCCGAATCTGCGTGGGAAAGATAACTCAAGATAGAGATCTTTGAAGTGGGGATAGCTGTAAATGAGTACTCTCTGGCTTGGGATGCAAACCATCTTAGCTGTAAATCACCTGGCCTTCCTGGAATGTGAAGTGTGAATCTTCCCTCATTACAACTCACAAATTGCCTATGTGATCTGAATTTTGAGGCTCTTGGATACATGATCTGGAGCTATAAGACTCACGGTTGCAAGAGTCCATTCAGGGTCATGAGGAGGGTAGGACACACCACAAAATTGGCTGGTATTCATAACAGAAACCTTTATGGTGAGTGATCATGATACTAAGGGCCTCTACAGACAGCCCTTTACACCGTCTTGGAGACAGGGAAGGGGAGGGGCAGCCACACGCCAGGTGCCCCAACCCCTTTCTGAGGATGTCATCACGGCGTGCGCCATTACGCATGGTGCGTGCCATCAAGACATCCTCCTGGCATGGCGTCTTAATATACTGCACCGGAAGGGACACAGAAGAGCTGCGTGGTGGCACTTCGGGAGCCCTATTTGCCAGCTTTGGAAGGACTGGCATTTTAACTCCTTTCAGGGCTGGAAAATGGTGGATGGGGGCCAAGTTGTAGGCTGGCCTCAGCTCCAATCCTCCGCTTCCCAGGGTGGCCCTGGGCTGCCCGTCTGCATCCCCCCTAAGATGGTTTCCAAATTTGTCTTTGCCAAACAATTTTGGAGTATGAATTTGAAGAATCTAAACTGGGGTTCTGGGAATATATCTCTGTTACTAAAACCAATTTGTTGGACATGGATTATTATTGGTCACATAAGCAAACAGAAGAAAAACTAATGGAGCCATCCTATACACACATTCACACCATAATAATAAAACAGTAACAATGAGCAAATGTGAATGTCAATCAGTTTTGCCTCCTCCCAGTGAGGACCATGGAAAATGCATTAAAAGGTTATGCACTTGTCCCTCCACATTTGTGGCTTTGACTTTTGCAGATTTAATTATTTATGGATTTTATTAATATGTTCTCAGTAGGAATATCTAGGCCCTCAAATCATGCTCTGGAGAGCAGGGCAAACTTTCCCAAGCTTCTAAAAGGGAACACCAATGATCACATACCACCTGCTGTTTGGCTCCTTTGGAATTCAGCCCAAATTCGAGGTTGGGGACCCAGGATGGTCTTAGGGAAATTAGGAAAATGGAGGGATCAGAAATCTGGGATATGTAGTTTAGGAAGTGGTATTGAAAATTCTTATGCAGTTATGACATTTCTTTCTTTCTTTCTCTCTGTAAACTCCTCTCTCTGCTTCTTATCTGCAATCACATTTTTTTTGCCAGTGATGTTTACTTAACCCAAAGGTGAACATGTAGTTAAAGAAATATTGGGTGAACACTTCTGAAGAGAAGCAACATAAAAACAAAACAATAACCAAAAGCAAGAAGAGAACTCTGAAAAATTAGAAAAAATACTGTCTGACTGTAGTTATGAGGGTGAAATCAACTCACCTTCAATACCATTTTAGAGTTTCCTTCCTGCTCTCTTGTATACTTCATACATGGAATAACTAACTTTTAGGGGTGGCAAAAGGCCACCCTAAGAGTCGGGATTGAACGCTGCACTGGAAGGGCATCAGGACACTGTTGACATGGGGTTGGGGCAGCTGGCGTGTGGCTGCCTTGCCCCAACTCTACCTCCAGGCCAGCCCTTTGGGCCACTCTGCAGAGGCATTCAACAACTATAAGGAGTTTATCACATGGGGGAAATCCTGTGCGGAAATGGGGCTTTAAATTATAAAAAAACTGCAAAAGTGGTTAGTTTTTCAGACGACATCACTGTTAAAATGGGGT